TCCCGCCAAGGGCCTGCTATGCCGAAAACGAGAGCCAATCCCTCTCTTTTCGTTTTACGTTCCCATGTCGCTGTGCCGAAGGGAAGATCAATCTGTTCTTCCTATAGCAACTTTTATCTGTTGAGCGACAGCTCTTCCACCCGGCACTCTCAAATCACTTGGGCTGACTTTCATTTAACAGAAAATAAAATAAAAATAGAATCAACAGACTAGGAAAAATTCAGAGAGTGGAACTAGTTCCTACCCGGTTCTCTTGAAGTTAATGCTAACTGCAGCTCAGTCTTAGTGCTTGTTCTGCTGATATGAAGTTTGTGCTCGTTTTCTGATGAGCCAATCATGTGGCTGATTGCTCAACGAGCAAAGCTATCTCATGGAGTCATGCATCATCACAGATTTAGTCGCTTGGCCTTGGTTCTTTCCTCCTTTTTTTCCCCTGTATTTTCTATTCCTGGATGGCATGCGCTCTTCATGCCCCTCAAAGTTTAACTTTCCATACTTTCTTCTGTAAATTGTGTGAACAAGAAATAAATTGAGTTTAAATCAGACTCACCCCAGTAAAGAGGAGATCATTTAAGAAAAAGGGAGTGTAGTCCAATGCTTAACGTTATTCCTTCTAAATTCTAAGAAAAGAAACTACTTTTTCTTTCTGAGAAGCAGAAAGCATAACAACGTCTAACAAAAGCGAAATAAAATAAAAAACAAATCTGCAAAACACAGATATAAAAAATCACCAGAGATCGAGAACCAAAACTGATGCATAGAAGGAGAAACTATCAAAAATCATTGCGGAATCTAATGGAAGGACTCAAAGAAAATAATTATCCATTACGAACTTGAGTCCTTTCATTAGATCCTACACTGATTTTTCTTTCCTTTGGTGAGGGGTGAGATATCTTGCATGAATCGATGCAAGGCTATCTATAGACTGGACTCATTGAAATAGTCCATGTTATGTCAGCTCTAGTTGAGGCCGACGACGACTTTGCCCAAGTCTTCAATGTTTG